ACATTTATGGTATGGAATTGTACTAATTGGTGAGCCTGGGGTGAGCTCCCCTGGGTTTCCGCTTTCCCTAGCCTCTGCACCTGTTTATCTCAAGACCACTGAAGACCTTGAGCATCACATACCAGCTCTAGCTGAAACCTATAACAAAGTGTTATCACTTTGTTCCCATGAAATAGTGTTGTAGTTTTTAGAGAACTGCAGTTTTCCTTAACAGAAAACTGATTCAAATTCTGTCCCAGTAAACCACGACACCAATCCTTATATTCCTAAAGCACTCCCACAGACAAGCAGCAGGCAATTTCAATAGCTGCCATGTCCCATGAAGAACTGGTGAAGTTCCACAGAAAGAAATTTTAAGACCTGGAATTTCCAATTTGCTGCCCCATTGAGAAAAGCTTACTAACAAACCAGAAGAGTGTCAGGTACTCTACCAACTCATCAAGAATAAAAGCCTCAAAGAACTGTCCATTTAAAAGACATCAGCAAGGTACCTGTAAAGAAAGTTAGTATACTATAGCACACGCTACAATTCATATACAGTTTTCTGAAATTAATTTGAGTTTTAATTATTAACACTTGAAGACATTCTGAATATACCAGTTTGGAGGAAGATGGAGAAATTATTTTTTCGTACACATGAATCACAGAATCTTAGGAGTTGGAAGGGACCTTGAAAGATCTGGATCACCTAGACTAGGTCACACAAGAACGCATCCAGGTGGGTTTTGAATGTCTCCAGAGAAGGAGACTCCACAACCTCTCTGGGCAGCCTGGTCCAGTGCTCTGTCACCCTTGCAGTAAAAAAAGTTTTTCCTTATGTTCAAATTGAACCTCCTATGCTCCAGCTTGCTCCCATTGCCTCTTGTCCTGTCATTGGCTGTCACTGAGAAGAGCCTGGCTCCTTCCTCCTGACACTCGCCCTTCACAAATTTATAAACACTAATGAGGTCACCCCTCAGTCTCCTCTTCTCCAAGCTCAAGAGACCCAGCTCCCTCAGCCGCTCCTCATAAGGGAGATGCTCCACTCCCTCAATCATCTTTGTGGCTCTGCACTGGACTCTTTCAAGCAATTCCCTGTCCTTCTTGAACTGAAAAGTAATAGCACAATGAAATATAAATCAAAGTTCCCTTATACTTTAAAAATGAAAATGCCAGCACTTGGTACAGTTAAAACAAATTCAGGCAGACATATTGGCATACACAATTGTGTATTTTACTTACTCAGGTTTCTTAACCAGCAAAGTTTTGATAAAATCCACAGCAGACTCTGATATGAGGTCAAAGTCTTCTCCAGAGTAACTTACATTCATTTGTGATATATTTAAGAATGTTTCTTGTTTATCATCCCCTAAGAAAGGCGATATTCCTGTTAGCATAACATATGCTAGTACTCCAATGCTCCTAAATTAAAAATAAAAAAAGAAAAGCAGGTTTTTTTAAGGTTTTGTGGCGATATTTAAAAATATACTTTTCAGTAAAGCAAGCTATGCTGACCATTAATTTGTTCCACTTACCACATGTCGGTTGCTGTACTGATTGGGTCATAACTCAGAATTTCAGGAGCTATTTGGGGGGGAAAAAAATAAAGTATTTTTTGTCATACGCAGGCATTCTATTGTGGTTATATAGTGCAATAACAGGCACATGGTAAAATTTAATATAAGCCATTTGAAGCATGACAGTCTTTTGAAATAGAGATATTTCTGTTCAAGTAATTGAAAATATTACTATCATTAACTGGTTTTAAGTAAAGCAAATTGTTTTCCTTCTATTGTCGTCCTCAGAAACCAGGCCAGCCTCCTTCCCAATTAAGGAAGCTGTATACAAATTTCTTACAAAAAAATGAGAAATAACCTACATTCCATATTCCAGCACTGAAACCCATACCCATAAAGATACACAACACAACTTGAAAGATATTTTCAGGTACACTTTCAAGGCTTAGAATTATTTGCTCTTAAAAAAAATGAAATTGATACAAACCTCTACAAGCTGAAATATTATATTCAGAGACTGAAGATGTAGTTCTGAACTTTAAATCCAAATAATACTTGCTATCAGGGCTAGCAAGAATCACCTAAAGTGTGCACTCATCTTCAACACAAGCTCACAATCATCACTCATTAGACTGGCAAAGCTTGCCAGTTCTAGCTTTTATAGCAGTACCACATCCAACTAATAACCTGATCTTTCAACACAGTAACTACACGGCCAGCCTGGCATTCACCAACTTGAGGTAGTTTCTCTTTTTCACTCCCCAAAGCCTGGATAGTTCCCTCCTCAGGGCTACATCACTCGTAAAGTAATGACTTACCTACATATTCTGGAGTTCCCATAATTTCTCTTAGTTCCTCGCTGCTCTTCATTATTCTGGAGAGGCCAAAATCTACTATCTTAATGTCTCCCAGAGGGGACTTACTGGTTATTAGAATATTTTGGGGCTGAAAAACAAAAGGAAGAGACTTTCAGAATCAGCCAAATCCAATGTCTATCACACCATAATATTGCATAGTTATTTCAGATCATGAGTAGCAATAATGCATTTCATAACAATACCCAGAATCATTTATTTGATGTTACTTTTTGCCTTTTTTTTTTCCCCACCCGAGGTGACCTTGAAGAGACAGGTAGGCTTAAAAGGAGCAGCAGGATTTTCTGTTTATAACACAGAATCAAACATTTACCTTTACTAGCTTAGAACACGTATGAAACACACACCAGTAGCTATCATTTAACAATAGCATGTAAATACCATCATATTTGTACCTCTGGTCTTTCAAATCACCTTTCTAACCTCCCCTCTCTCCTTGCTTCCTTTCTATAGATGTTATAAAATACCTCCTGTTGAAGGGTGTCCAAGAACATGCAATCATTTTAAAAACCCTGAACACATAAAACTATTTTGACTACACCTGTTTAAAGAAAGCCTGTTGCAACTGACCTGTCTTGTTCAAACAATTGTATTACAGAATACAAACTAAAGAACAGTTTAAAAAGAATACAGCAGCCTGAAAAACAGGTTTAAGAGCATCACCTTTGAATAAACTTGTTTGCTCTGAATCACAGAATCATTAAGGTTGGAAAAGACCTCTAAGATCATCAAGTCCAACCGTCAACCTAACACCACCATGCCCACTAAACCATGTCCTGGAGCGCCACATCCATGTGCTTTTTGAACACCTCCAGGGATGGTGACTCCACCACCTCCCTGGGCAGCCTGTTCCACTGCTTGACCACTCTTTCAGTAAAGAAGTTTTTCCTAATATCCAATCTACACCTCCCCTGGTGCAACTTGAGGCCATTACCCCTTGTCCTTCCACTTGTTATTTGAGAGAAGAGACCAACACCCACCTCGCTACAACCTCCCTTCAGGGAGTTGTAGAGGGTGATAAGGTCTCGCCCTCAGTCTCCTTTTCTCCAGGCTAAACAACCCCAGCTCCCTCAGCCACTCCTCATAAGACTTGTTCTTCAGACCCCTCACCAGCTTCGTTGCTCTTCTCTGATGTGATTAGATCTTGACTGTCATCCTTCAAAGCAACTTTGCAGTCATTAAGATGTTTCTTACCATCTATTTTAAATGCTAGCTCATTTAAAAATAAATCTGAAAACTAACTTCAGGTCACACCAGGTTCTATCATTAACTTCTCTGAATGGTAACTCTGACACTTGACACTACATTCATGCCTCTGGTGAGCACAATTTCCATGAAAATGATGAAGCTTTTATTCATTTACTCATTTATTCATTTACTTAATTTTATTCATTTTATTTACTGAGAACCTGGAACATCTTGCATCTGAGCGGTTGGAAAGCAAAGACAGCAAAGAGTAAGAACACCAAAGCAACTGACTGATAATCCAATGGGATTAACACCAACATTTATACTTTTGCCTTAATCACCAAGCCATTCGGTGATTCATCCCCTAGTCAATCACAAAGGCATGCCTTCACATGAGCAGCCTCACTTTTGAACACTGAAATAAAGCTGTGCAAGACCATGTTAAAAACCTTGGCCCAGTTCTCCATGCCACAGGACCTAAATATAGTCAAGTTACTTTGTTCTTGTAAAGTTAAAGCCATGGTATTTCAAACTAGCTCCATGATGTTGTCAATCTATTTTCTGTTTGCAAATCTATGCATTAAGAACAGCTTTTTTTCCTTCTTCTTACAACCCAGGATCTGGTGGCTGTAGAAAGGCTTTTGGAGTTGCAATTACCATACACTTTATAGTTCACATTTGTTACTCTGTATTTGTATTAGAAAAGCAAACATCCAAAAAAGCTGACCATGCCTCCCTAATTAGCCTCTCAAATGTTCCTCCCAGTGGGAAATTTAGTTACTTTCTGAAGAGGCAAATAGAAAGCATGAGAAAAACATTTGTTCTCTATATTTAAATAAGGAAAAGTTTTCAATGGGAACATTTCATGAAACCCTTAAGCTCTGTATTATAATATTTCAGCAGATAATGTAGCTGCCAGAAGTTGTCTTTTTTAAAAACAATCCTATTACTTACAACACACCTATGCAGAAAAAATCCTGTCTACATTACAACTTGGATCATAATTCTAAAACAATTCATACTGAAATATCAGTCGTTGTTTTGTTTTAAGGAATTATCATGGGGTTCAAGTGAAGTGACAGTCTACACACCAGCATGAAACCTTAAAGAAGCTATAGCTTTAAACTTACCATAGTTTTCAGCTTGACACAATTACGCTAAAGCTTTAAGAAGGTAATTTCCCTGCATCTGTTAAGTTGTTTCTCTTTTGTTTTGTCATTGCTGTAATACACCTAGATTTGCCTAATGCTGATTAGCCCAGAAAGGCAAGAAAGATGCAGGCCACAGGCTTTCCTGGTAGCCATTCTGAAAAGGGCCTTTCACTTTTACCATCGAGCAGTAGTGAAATGGCTAAAGAAAACTGTCAAATGGCAACATTTAAAAACCTTCCCCTCTGCTGCAGTGAGGCTTAAAGGTTCCAGTTTATATCCTCTTATGTTGTGCACTGAAGAAAAACATGAAAAGAAGAAATCCTGTAGGAGAGTGCTGCCTGGAGCAGTCGTTCTCCCAGACCAGGCTATGTCAAGCTCTTTACCCATCTCCATGGTGTACAAGTGGCAGCTAGATCCTCTTCAATCCCACACCTTTTAACATCCTCTTTCATTCCCAACTGCTTTAAGCTTTTACCAAACACCAGTTCAAGATAAGTCAAACACCAAATGATATCGCAGAGAATGGAGTCTTCCCTTACTCTGCATCTTTTATGCACCATTAAGAGGAGATGAAAGACTCCTGACTACAATCTATTCACACCCTGCAAATTAAATAGCATCAACAGAATACTGTCAAGTGGTACTTATTTTGCATTCAGTAGCACTATTTACTCTTCCTCCAAGTCAAAACTGGATTACATGATTGTATCTTGCTATTAAAAATATGCCAACAAATCATCTTTTAGGAGAACTACATTTTTGGAAAGAAATTATCAGGTGGCAACCCTGCTAAGTCATGTCAAAATACTCCATTTTTTTCTGCAGTGTTTAGTCTCGTAGGAAAAATCTTGCATCTTTTAAGGGGGCAGACAGAAGGCAAACCAAGCTAGCTGTCAGTGTCATAGACTTAGTTGATTAGATTTATAATATAAAACTGTAACAAGCTGACAATCACACACCGATAACCATTTTGACTTAAACTTTTCTGGGTGCAAAGCCTGACTTTTTTGAAGGCGCAACATATGGAAGATTCGATAGACATTCCAAAGGTATTTGTATCAGACAGATGAAAGGGAAATCTTCAGAGACCCAGATGTGATAATAGCAGAAGGAAAACATTTCAGCAAGCATTTGTAAACTTTCTGACATTGGCAAACACCTTGCTTACCAGCAGTACACTTTGCACTAGTCTGCCAAATGCTACCCCACAAAACTAAGTATTTAGTAAATTCCATAGTGCTGAAAGCCATTAGGTAATGCAGTATGAGCTACACTATACAACACAAAATGGTTTGAGGCCAGTGGGTTAATAAACACGCAGCAAAAACCAGCGCCCAACTTCATTTTTTATATCCTTGACAAATGGGACTTTTTTCAAGTCTTGCAAGACCTGCGGGTCAATCCAGCTTCTCAAGTAATGGTTTTTAATGCTACAGTTTCTATCATCCTCATTTGCTAATATTCTGAAGACTTCCCTAAATCGCATTTTGCAAAAGACCAATAGCCTCATATATCACGAGAGTAATCAAATTGCAAAGACAACTCCTAATAAGATCCACTTTTCAAAAACATATTGCACACTGCAGTGATGTATAGAAATAATGAACTCTAGGAAATTTGCTCTGCTAATGAAGTTTCATAAGCCAGCAAACCACACAAAATCACAAAATGGTAGGGGCTGGAAGGGACCTCGAAAGATCATTCAGTCCAACACCCTGCCAGAGCAGGATCACCTAGGCTAGGTCACACAGGAACACCTCCAGGCGGGTTCTGAATGTCTTCAGAGAAGGAGACTCCACAGTGTCTCTGGGCAGCCTGGTCCAGTGCTCTGTCACCCTCACAGTGAAGAAGTTTTCCCTTGGGTTTAAGTTAAACCTCCTGTGTACAAGTTTGTAACCATTGCCACTTGTTCTGTCACTGGGCACAACCAAGAAGAGACTGGTCCCATCCTCCTGACGCTTGCCCTTTACATACTTATTAGCATTAATGAGACCTCCTCCTTTCCAGGAGGAACAGACCCAGCTTTCTCAGCCTTTCCTCATATAGGAGATGCTCCAGGCCCCTCATCATCTCAGTGGCTCTGTGCTGGACTCTCTCCAGTAGTTCCTTGTCCTTCTTGAACTGGGGAGACCAGAACTGGATGCAGTAGTCCAGATGTGACCTCACTAGGGCAGAGTAGTGGGGGAGGATAAAAGCAATGCTGGATCATTCATTGAGAACTGAAGATGCTCAATTTTATAACAAGTTTCCTGATCAATTGGAAAGAATTTTTAAGTAAGCTGTTTCAGAATTTTGAAAAAGCCACCTATGTGCAAGCTGTAGTCAGCCCCCAAGTTTGTTTTTGCCATTAAAAGTACTGTAGTCACAGCACAATGCATTTCTGATTACAGATACCCGACTACAAACAAGTATGAATATATATTGTCCACAACAGACATGTTTTAATTTTTACCACTTTGCTTCAAGGAAATTAAACAAACATTTTTGGCCAACCATAAGAGACACCGAGTATCTCATGTAAGCATATTGGGACTTAAAGGAATTCTGACTGCTCATTTTCAGTCCTTCTGAACACTTGCACTCACATCACTTGCTAAAAAATTTCCATTCATTATTTTAGTACAGCTATCAATATTCTACATGTATGACTAAATCAATGGGCTACAGAAAGTTTTAAAGGATTTCAGAGGTAGTTTGAATAAATGGTTGGAAAATCAGGCAGGTGAGATATTTGTGTGCAAATATTAGTCATCTGCCTTAGCTGATGAATGGTACATGATGTACTAGGTTATATATTAATATTTACAGCTTGATACTGGAGTCTAATGGTAGATTTGTATTACTGCCAAAATGCAATTAAGTAAGGATATCAGCAACAGTACATAAGAAATATGTAGTGGCTCACTACATGCTTAGTAAATATGGAAATTGGACATGATGTAAAAAAAATGGAAAACTTTAATGAAATATATTTTTTATATTGTCTTGCTTAGTAATAATAAAGTAGTTCAACCTCAAAATTAGATAAAATTGCATCTTCCATATGAGTGTATGGATGGAAGCTTAAGAAAAGTAACTGCAACTTGCTGCCAATGGCAGATGATATTTTTCTGGATCCCTGTTACAACTCTCTTAAGCATAAACAATACTCTGAATTTCACGGTGACAACTACTTTTCTCTTGATTTGGGTCAAAACTATTTTTCAGTAAGAAAAAAATACTCCAGTAAATCATGACAATTGATATACCAATAGGGCAGTGGCCAACTGGCAGTAAATTAGAAACATTTAAATTAGGTTTTACAGTAATTTAAAAAATATTGAAGTGTTATAAATATATTTAACACATTAATATACTGTTTACCAGTCCTGTATGAACACTTCATTCTGAAATATTACACTTCATACTACCAGTGTCTCTGCCATCCTTCTGCTTCATTAAAACTCAAGTCAGTACAAAACCCAACCTATTTTTAATGGCCATATAATACTCAGACACTTTAATTGCATTTTGGGTAAAACCTGGCACATTTCTGAAGCACTCATTTGTGATTTAAGGTGCAATGCAAATCTACTTTTGACTTCATTCCATTTCACTTAATCATAGAAACCCCACAAGACCTGCAACCCCAATGCCTACTGCATCTGAAAAGTTGAATTCTGTTGTTTGAGAAAAAACTACAGAAAAATTGTGTTAACTACAAATTAGCATTAGTATGACTTATGACCAGTCAGCAGATAAGAAATCTATAAGAAATACAGCAGTAATCTTACCTTTAAGTCAAGATGAACCACATTATTTCTGTGCAAGAATGAAACTCCTTCTAAGATCTGCTTCATAAGTCGTTTAACATCTTTTTCTTTGAAGGCTTCCTCTCTTTCAGCCACACACTGGTCAAAGATTTCACCTCCAGCAGCACTATGGAATAATATGAATTTGATTATTTCAAAGACTAAGTCATAGTCACTTAAGTTAGCGAGGATAGTATTTTCTCCGGTTACCCCGAAGTGCAACATACCAAACCTGACTTTGCACAAATATTGATCCTCATTGATGCATGGCCATCTATTCTGCTTTTGCTTGCTCTTTTCTAATAAATTATATTACCTAGGCACTCCAGGAGACAGAGAGCCATATTCAACAGGGATGTAACAGCAAATGAGAGTTCTACAAAAACAGTGCCTTTGGATTTTAAGCTGAAAGATGGTAGATTTAGATTCAATATAAGGAAGACATTATCTGCTGTGAGGGGTGGTGAGACACTGGCACAGGTTGCCCAGGGAAGTGGTGGATGCCCCCTCCCTGGAAGTGTTCAAGGTCAGGTTGGACAGGGCTTTGGGAAACCTGGTCAGGTGGGAGATGTCCCTGGCCATGGCAGGGGGGTTGGACTGGATGAGCTTTAAGGTCCCTTCCAACCCAAACCATTCTGTGATTCTATGATTATCTATGCTCAGAAAGAACACAAATAAACTCAGTTTTTCATTTTGTCAATACTAACTTCACTGCTATAAGTCCTAGTACCTGAAAATGCCTCATGTTTTATAAAAATTTTTGCCTTCCCAGATATTTTTATTACTGTTATTCAAAATTATCCCTGTGGATTGCCTTACAAGCAAAAAAAATAAGAGGGTTACGTCTTAACTTTTTTTGTTTTATATGCTGGCTTACTTATACAGAAGTACAATTTGATTTATTAAACTAACATTTCTTTTAAAAAAGAAAAGTCTATTAAATAATTATTTTTCTTCATCCTGTATCAAGAATAAAATGAGTTTCTATTTCATCACTATTCGTACTTTAATTCCTCTAGAAAAATTGCATATGCTTGACACTATCATATCTTTCTTGAGCACATTTTTATTTAATTAAAGGAAAAATCAATATTTCAGCTTTGAACAGTATTCAGGTATTAGACATTTTTCAAATTTACACTGGATAGCATATTCTAATACTTTAAAACTCTTAAAAAGCAACATCAATTGGATCTTCAAGACAGGGATAGAAAAATGGCTACTGTAATCAATAAAAGTAACTTTCTACTTTAAGAAAGCCTTACTGTGTAACTTGGAAGAATCATTTAATTCCTCATAGCAATAAATTATAATGCACATACAGTGATAAAACCTACTACCAAATTTGCCAACATGATGTGTTTTATAGCAACAACCCTGGAATTTGCTGGTATAGCTCTGCCACTTAAAATAAGCAAACAGTACTTCTGCTATATAATTGTATGTGAATATTGGGGGATTGGACTAGATGATCTTTTGAGGTCCCTTCCAATCCCCTAACGTTCTGTGAAATAGTACTTATACCCTAAAACTGCTGTTAACCAGTGATCACACTTCATTTTTAACAGACGCAGCTGAAAAATCAGCAACAGGGTAGGGCTTATAAAGTCCTGTTTGCTACATGTCTGTTTGGCAAACTTCTGTTAGAATTAAGTCACATTAATAAATAAATTAACATTGAAGTAGGCACCAAGCTAAAATTTAAGCTACCTAGAATTTTAATACTACACAAAGTTTCACATGCAACGTTTCATTTTTCAATTAACTTTGCTATTTAGGATGCAGACAGAACAACTATTTCCAGACAACTCATTCTACTCCAGAATCACCACATGCAAACAAGTAACTAGTGCCCCTTCACAAGAACACAGGGAAATGTGTTACTGCAGGACTGTTTTGGGCATTGTTGCTGTGGAGTGAGCTTAATCGAGTCCCTTCAGCACACCAGTCAGCGAGCTGTGAGCCAACCCAGTCATAAGTGGTTGGAAGTACAACGTCAAAATAAACTCCAGAAAGACTCTCCCGCACACCTATGCCAAACTTGCCAAGCTCCTTAACAGTTCTTTCAACTCAGTTATTTTGTATTCTCTAGCTAGAGTTCAGGGGGAAAAAATTAATCAAAACACAGAAGGGATTAAAATACCTGCTAGGAAAGTATTACGGGCTTGTCCTTGTTATTATTTCCATATACATGTAGACAAGGAGTTCTATGGTGTTTATAACAACATTTACCCATTTTTCCTCTAAAAACAGATTTTGCATTAAGCTGTAGCTTTTCTAATGGTCATTATGAAATAAGAACTTTGCAAACCACTGGGCACCCCCACCCACCTCCACAGAAAATGTTCCTAGGGGATAAAAGCAAAGAATTGTCCTTAGGACAAGCAATTCTTTAGGAAAAGAAGTCATCTTAATCTGAAAAGAAACAGGGTAAGGAAATATTTAAAAGCACGACATTTTGAAATCCAGTGTTACTTAGAATGCATTATTTCTCTGGTACACACACCCTTAGCTAGGTGTATGAAAAAATGTGAGACTTAAGGATTTTTTCCAAACTTAAAAGCTATGGCAACCAGATTTCTTTAGCTACTTTAATTTATTTACAAAAATACTGCTGTGCTATTAACTTCTCTATAGTTTCAAGTAAAATCCAACTGCTCTTCAATCCAGAAGCATGCTGATGTTTCATTACTACTTATCAGCATAAATAAGCTAGATGTCATTTGGAAGTCTGGAGCATTAATCTTGGTTACTATTATGTTGACTTTAAATTCAATGGAGACTGCTTATCCTCCTTCAAATGTATCTTAACAATGCACTGCTCAAAATTCGGCATCCTACTTCTTTCAAGTGCACTTACAACACTAACATAGTCCTTTACCCCATCATTAGAAAAATGTTGAACAAATTATTTCAGTGCACCTGAAAAAAATTTAACACTCCCACAGCTGTAATGGATCAGACATTAGGACAGTCTTCTGAAAGACTCAGAAGTACAAAACCTCAGAGTACAGATACACTCCTAGAATACACTTCATTTCAAATGCTAAGTAAGACCATAGACAATCTGCAAGGGTTAAAAATTTACTTCCTGAATCATGCTGTGTCAAAAACCTCTCTTGAAAGGGTTAGCTCTGGAAGATAAATGAAAACTCATCTGCTTTCTGTAAACAGAGCTTATATTACAAGACACCAAGGCAGTTGTAACATTATCAGCCAAGGTTCACGTTCACTACTGTTGCCAGCCATATGCTCCTTTCCTTGGCTAGCCATACCATTAGACAGTAAGCAAGCAAATGAATTTACTGAGAATTTTTCCAGTGTAAGTCTACCATAACATACTAATGTCCCCAAAGCCCAAGAAAACTCTATCAGATGAGATGACATATGGGAAAAGCAGCATCCAAATGCATTAACTTGTAGACACTGTTCTTTTAAGTTTTTGTTTATCAGACAAATGCATCTTTTTTGTTTGGTTATTTTGTTTGTTTGGTTTTTGTTTTGGTTTGTTGGTTTGGTGTCATGTCCCCCCCGCCCTTAACTTTTCCAAACAGGCAGCCCAGGTATCCAATCAGGTATCTAATAGTATTTGAGAAGTTTTCCCTAAAACTTTTTGAGGGGCTCCAGTCTTGATTTGAGACTGCCATCTAGAACAATTTTGTTAATGGTTAACAGACACAATGCAAACATTGGAGCCACACCACCAGTAAGTAGGACTATAAGTAGCATCCAAAATGATACAAGTAGTAACATTGTCCAGGTCCAGAAAACTATAGGTAAAAACAGCACTTCATCCAGCACATCAAATAAATCCTGACTGTGTCTTCAAGATGATAAAGACAATTTTTTTTTTATTTTTTAAAGTAATAGAACTCTACTATATCTGCACAAGACCTTAACAGGCAATAAGTCAGTTCAGGGACTCTTCACAAAAAATACTTAATGGCTCAGATTTTTAAGTTATCCATACAGGCTCCCACTAATTTAATCTATCCCTTCCATAGATGTATAAACGCATGGTGGTGAGCACTTATAAAAACCACAGTTCTTAAGCATCAGATGCACTGTTGTTCTTTCTTTCAAAAGAAATAGGAAAAAGCCAGGTAGGTTGCATGCAAATATTGAGCACAAAAATTACAAATTCGCTTTTGTTTTCCTTTTATAGCTGATGTATCAGGTTTCCCAGACTGTATCACTACCTTCTGCAGTAAAAGTCCATTTTTTTTTTTCATTCATTCCATTTTCACTGAAATACAGGAACATGACTAACCCACAGATTAATGCCAGGCTTTACCTACTACTCCTTCAGACTTCCCCTTTAACTCCTACTGAAACCCTCTGTTTGAGGTCTTGTGCCAACAAAGAGAAGTCAGAGACTGCTGTCAGGGTGGATGCCAACAGCCATCAGTTCGCTATCCTGCAGTTGAAGCCAACACTGTAATGCTTCATTGCTCCCCATTGCTTACCACTTAATATTAACAGGCAGCAGCAAATTCTAAGTTTGTTTGCTGTTAAAAATAGATACAGCTTGAAAGACAAACCTCCACATAACATTAATATTTATCTTCATGAAGGCAAAGCACCTGTCAACCCTTATGACAGGTTCAACATCAAGACAAGAAACTTCAAAACCTCAACAGATATAAAGTTAGTGGCCAACAATTATGTTTTTCTCCCTCCCAAGACAAAGATCAAGACACACAGACCATCAAGCTTAATACAAACTGAAATGCTCTAGAGAAGCTTGCAGTCTAGATATGTTCTTTAATCCTCCACATACAGAATGTCAGAAATTTACTAACATTCATACCTGTTTTGTTGCAACACGTCTCTGGAACATGCTAAATTAAAGCAGCAGCCAGACATATTTGCTGAAGTCAGGCAAAGACAGTTTCTGTAATTTACAACTCTCAACCAACCATTTATCTGAAGCGAGGTATGATTGATGCATATAAAAACAGTTATGTTGCCAATTACTGAACAACCTGGTGACGGCTGAACAACCTAGTTTATACATTGGATTAAAAATATTTTGCAACTGTAAGAGAACTGAGTTCTGAAAGAAAATTAGCAATTCTGCATTAAAATTATAAAAACCCCATTGCTCATATCAGGCTTTGGATTCTACCACTCGTCTTATATCCCTGTGAGATCCAGAAATTTAAGCTGTGGTCTAGCATGTGTTTATGAGTCTTCAAAAACAGCAGTTAAAGCTCCAGAAGCTCTGTCACACCTTTGCATTATAACAGATACCTGAATATTGCAGAAATCTTTAATTCCATAATGGCACAAGGAAGTTGGAAAAAAAAAAATCTATTCTAGAAGAAAGTTTACCTTAGCAGACAGTCTCATTCCATTTCACTGTACTTTAAAGATACAGTTTCTTCTTACTTCTAAACACGATCAAATTGGGACACAATATTTCTCACCATTTCTTTTTGGTATCAAGCAAGAAGAGAGCTGTACAAACTAAATTTATCTTAGCAGACAGGTTAAGTCACTTCTGAACTCTTAAGACTCACTGTTCCTCTCCTAATTATTTACGATCCACAGAGCTTGAACAGGATCTCAACTGAGTTAATTAGCAACAAACATTTGACAGTCTCTTGGATCCTAGATGTCAAATATCTAAGCCACTGGCATATTAGATGAACAGTCTCAACAGCTGCAGAAACACCCATCTGGACAAAGTTGACGGGGGAAAAAAATACACAGGCAAATGTAGAGTCACAAGTTAAATGTCGTTTGAAAGAAACTATTCCAGGTCTGAATCCTCGTACTTTTTTTTCTTCCCCAAAACAATTACAAGCTTTTCATTGTAGGTGATAGGGGGTTTGATAGTTTCTTTTTAATGATGACATTGCTTTCAATACCTTTTTCATAACTGGTAAAAAAAAAAATCCCACATGGATTTCACCCCACCTTTGTGACTGTCAACAAAATAAACTTCAGTTTTTGAACAGATACTCCTTGCTGTTTTTCTTCTTCCTCTTTTACAAGTAGGGAGTGCACACAGCTTGTATTTCACTAAGGATTTTTTTAACTACATAAATTATAGATCATCTTTGAAATACACTACAGAATTGGAAATACTTATTATAATCTGCAGTAGTTGCAAGAAGCTACACGCGCTCTTGTAATACTGATTTCCTTAGCAATGCTTTCTGAACCCAAGCAAGTATAACAGGCAAACAACAAAACCTTTTCACATTATTCATATTGACACAGCATTTTTACATTATTAGTTTTAAGCATATACTAAGGAAACTTATTCAAGAAGTATTACTAGTACTTACTATTCCAGGACTAAAATCATCTCAGTTGCAGTTTCATAAACTTCATGCAAGTTAATGACCCAAAGGTTGCATTGTGCCAGCTCAAGGACTGCAATTTCATGAATTATTTCCATCCGACAGTCTTGGCCCTTTCTTCTTTTTCTCATGAACTTTGCTGCAAACTCTCTTTCAGTGTCTTTCTGGATACACTTCTTCACCACTGCAAATTTTCCTCTGAAATGAAAGAAGAATTTTAAGTTAAAAATAAGTCCCTTAGTGACAACATTAGTATTACCCTTATAACTTAACATTACAGGAAACTTGAACTAAATCACTATTAATGAATACATTTAAAGTATGTTCCAAATTTAGAAAGATGCCTCGCTGAGTGATAATCCCTATACTTAAGCTAGGAACATCACAAGACAGAATGTAATTTAACCTTCATTAAAAATAAGGACTTAAAAACTATCAATTCAAGGAATGTGGATTTCAAAAGTACAGAATAAACAAGCTGTGTTAGTTTACAGGATTAAGGTATCCTCAAACCTTTCATTAAAGAGGCCAGCAGAAACAAAAGTGTATAAACAGGCAATTTATGCTTTCTGTGACTGTGTCACAATAACCTAAGTAAATGCCCAACTCTTGTTTCCTGAAGTACCCCATCATATTCAAGGCAACAGCAACCAGCAACACTTACTGAACAACTGCTCAAAATCCTGCTCCATTTGCCATGCAATATCCAGCCTCCGTTCCGCATTTTCAAAGACGGTACTTTATGTTTTCACTATAATACATCTCAAATGATAACAGCCAGAATTTGACTATTCAACAGTTCTCAGAATTCCTTCTACATGAGGGTGGTAGGCCAGTGGAACAGGTTGCTCAGAGAGGTGGTGGAGGCCCCATCCCTGGAGATACTCAAGGTCAGGTTTGATGGGGCTCAGAGCAACCTGATCTGGTAACATTGTCCCTGCTCACTCCAGGGGGGTTGGACTAGATGATCTTCAAAGGTCCCTTCCAACCAATACATCCTACTATTCTACAATTCTCAGTCTCACTATATAAGTAAGGAACATGGATCATTAAAAAAAAAAAAAAGGCAGCTTGCCCAACATAAAGCTAACAAATTTTTTGCAACCACGATAATGCGAATACAAACACATACTGAGCAGAGCTGAGCATAGTGCTTAACCCATGTTAACGAGCGTCACTTCTGACAAAACACTCAACCCATGAGGTGCAGCAAGCCAGAAGGCTGGCTAAAACCACACTGCAGCGCTGACGTCAGAGGACTTCACCCACAGCATTTTAGACTGAAGCATCTGCCCTAAACTTCCTTGCAATAAAGTCCCACATCACCCGCTCTACTTGGCTCCATTTATACCATATGGATTTTTAGACTGAAAATGTCTACTAACTAATATCTGTCATCTAATGCAATGATGAATTCTCATGCTTTGAAGTATAGCAATCTTTTTTTAGTTCTTACCATATAGGTGTAATTTTATTTTATTTTTTTTATTTAGATGTAAAAGGTTCCTTATAAAGCTGCAGGAATAGCTTGGAGATCTTGATTTTGGTTCTTAACTTATTGTAGGGTTGCTGAAACCAAAATAAGAATCCTCATCTGGTTTGGAATACAGTTACATGGGTTTTGCCTCTCCTACCTCCAAGCTGAAGATCACAGGATTAGCTAATTCAGCTCATGCCAAAATTTTCACTCTCCTAGCTCCTAACCTATTGGCAGACTCACATTTCCATGAAATGTAACTGCTAAAACAAGCTGTGGTCAACTTGTTTTTAATAGGCATTTGTTTCAAGATTACCCAGTCTAAATGAATTAAGTAAGTCAAATAAGCACCCACAAAGTGGGTATTTGCTAGGCAATCTCACTAAAATAATCTGACTTCTAACCACTGATACAGTCACAGTTATTCCTCTAGGAATAATATTTTGCATAAGCACACATTATCTACAGCACAATAAGTATTAAGACCAGATTGGAGCACAGCCCAGATGGCTGTGAAGGTAGACAAACAGTGAGAACATGCCTTCAATGTCTTGAATCCAATTTTTTGGAAAAAAGTTCTTAATTACTAATATACACATTAAGAGAAATTTTGCTTTGCAAATGCATGAAAATAATATTAAAGGATTTTGTAGCACTATGAAGATGTGGTCAAAAGATCACTATAAAAATGCATTAATTGCTACAGAGTTACCACAGAACACCACAGGAGGAACTGACAGATAAAGCCTTGAACAAAGCCTAACAACCTGCTAGGTGCCTGGTACACATCTATCAAAAACCATATTGGAAGAAATAACAAATGCATACAGTACAGACAACTCATAAGAAAACATAGGAATGTGCTAATGATGGTCCTGATCCCAAAAACATTCCAAGGATAATGTTTCTTTTAGGTAGATTTCTAGGATGTTTGTGACATTAGTGGTGCAGCGACAAGTATAAACATCCCTCCAGTACTGCAATCCTAACCACGACGGAAAGCAACCTTCCCTATGCAGCCAGTGTAAAGGGTTTTAAGTTATTCCAAACAAAGACATCCATCTGCACAATTCATGTACAATATAAAGCTGTGCATTTATTGAACATGTTAAAATCCTTGCTGAAGTTTTTAGCACCAAAACCAAAAACAGCACAGGAAAAAAACCCATAGTGACTATGCTGATAAGAAAAACAACAGATAAAAATAAACTGAGACTAACAGATAAGCCCTTTAACAGCAAGTTATTTTAATATCCAATAGATACTAAGCCTTTATACCTAAAGCCTAGACCCCTGGGTTCGGCCTTGTCTGCTTTTCTTAAATAGTCTCTGAATGTAGACTCTCTTTTGGCTGAATGTCGCCTCAGAACAGAGTCAAAAGCCTTTAATTCTAGCACTGGTGAAGGACCTAGAGAAAGGAGTTTAGAGAAGTCTGAAATCTCTATAATACAGCTTTTGAGCAGCACAGTATTGTTTTGCATGGCATACAAAATCTATCAGGTAGCAAGGTAATTAGCCTGATGAGTACCAATGTCGCCGACCATCGCAAATGAGTCACTATGGAAATAAAGCAGCGCTCATGGGGCAGCAGGAGCCACCACTGTGTGTGGCCACGCATGTCCTGTTTAGCTGAGCTGACCAGAAGCCTGGCAGGTGACATAATGAACAGGACAGGTTACACAGGAGTGCAGCTGGCTGACAAACACTCTTAGCTGTTTAAGACCAAGAATCCTGCCCAGATTCCTGATGGCTATACCTATAATTACAGCTGTTACAACTACTGCCTGTAGAACTCACCTTTTCTGAGTACAACCCCAAAAAAAGATCAAACTTGACAAACCTGATGTTTATAACTAATAGAACTAACTACTGTGTAGCCATCCAGATCCATGTCTGAGAATTTCAGAGCTAGGATCCAAAGACACTGTCCACTCTATGGTTAGGCCAAAGAGAAATCTCTAAAGAAATTCTTTTTGATAGAGACAGAATAGTGGACAAGACAGTAAACAAGCTTTCCCATAGAGTACACATTGCAGGTGCTTTATCTTTGCTTTTCTTAAAATCCTGCTTTTCACAACTCCTTATTAAAAAATCTATTAAATAGCAAAAACAGTATTAGAATAGAGCACTGTTAGTTTAGCTGCACTGATAAGAGCAAGCAGTAGAACACTGCAATGAAGGAAGAACAATTTTCAGAGGAAATAGTTGATGTTAATTTCCAGTTAAAAAATGACTACCAGTCATTCAAACACAAACAAAAATGCTTTGAAGGGAAACATGAATAGGAACCTAGAAGTAGTTCTCAGTCCTTGCAAGAGTCTCATTCAAGAATTATGATTTAAGATAAATCATAACTTATTACAAAGAAGCTCAATGTCATCTTTACAGATTGCCAGCAGAATTAGCATTGTTTCATCTGGCATACATGATGGCTGAAAGCAAAAGCCTCAAATCACAAATCAAATGTCAAATCAGATAAGGAAGAACATTTATGTCACACCAGTTAGTTTTGGTTGTCTTAGTCTCAGAAGTACAGAGAACTAATGTTACTTTAGTGATTATTTTAAAAGTGACCTATAAAACCCTGTCACTGTAACAAAACAAGGAATAAATGCAACTCCTGTGAAGGTATTTGAAAATATATACATATTTAGAAAACTCTTCTGAGATCCACAAAACTATACACAATTTATTACATAACTCATACCAAACTTTTTCCTAACAAGGGAGGAGTGCTGTTTATACAATTTTTGATTTCCAAACAGCAACATGTGGGGAGGCTCCATTTCCGATGTTCATGAATACTTCGCTCAACTTATTCTCAAATGGTGGAACCAGCTACTTGCAACTCTTCATTTTCACCTCTTTTTCACTCTCACTTAGTTCCACAGCTGTTTTACCCTAGCTACACAGAAAGCACCCGAGGACAGAAGTGCAAGAGCACATGCATTCTTACTGATGCACAACACTGTGCAAGTGTCTAGCATGCACATTACTGAAAGCTACCTGAGAAATAAGAAAGCTCATGTCCAAGTTTATGGAAAAAAAAATACAAGACATGGGTTATCTGCACATGAAACTACAATTAGTTAGGAGGGTTTTTTTGTTGAGAAAAAGAGCAAAGCAACTAAATACAATTATACTAGACTCTTAAGGAAGCTCAGGTAATACAAAAGATATTGTTCCCCATTTTGTAGTACAATTATGGCTTACACACAGATAGTATGGGGAAGAAGAGTTAAGCAATTGGTGCCTTGTCCTCTGCAGACGTTACACTATTTCAAACTAACTTAACTCAAGCTAGCACCATCTGAAAATGCTTAAGTCTGAGTGAGTTGATGAGAAGTGGCACCCTTAAAACATCCATCAGAGGTAAGCTTGATTTTAAACATTATGCAGGTGAAGACCTGTACGAGAACATTCTGATTTTGTGACAGTAAAATTAATAAGGCTGTGAAGACTAGCCCAAAATTTATTTTATTAAAATATCCTGCCATTTCCATGTCATCTTAAGTAACTTAAGATCACTTCCTTTCCAGAGTAGCCATTATAACCAAGTGCTTTCTGTTTTTCCCAAATTAACTTGGCTTTCCCGGCAGCTGTATTTTGGTAGAGTTGCAAATGCCTGTTCAGCTATCAAATGAGGCAGCAGCCTTTTGAAGCACACAAGCTTTGCATTCTCAAAGCAGTTTTTTCCCTGCGAGCAGAACTAATGAAGCCCAATTTCCTTTGGCTTTGCACCCACATCCTTCCAGTGACACTGCGACCAGGTTCCTCCCAGGCTCATCTACAGCTTTCAGCAATACTTCCCCAGGACTTCCACCTCCAATATGCCCCAGCCCCAGTACCTTTTCCCTGCACTGCTCAAACTATGCGGCCTCAACCTTTTCCTATGTTCCCCCCTCTTCCCACCGCCTCCACACATCAGTGACAAGGGGACAGAGGCCCCAGGCACCATGGTGACTTCAACACACATGTGCTGACTGACTGGGTCAGACACCAAAGAGCACACAAAGCTGCTAAGTCCATGCAGTGGCCTTGCTCTCAGCAACAGGGCTAAATCTGCTTTCCTGTCTCTCCCTGCTGTCAGTTTTAAACTCAGCTTACAGAAATGTTGTTATTCTCAAAGCCTCAATCTAAGGTTCAGCTTTTAAATCACTTCCCTTATTCTGGGCAGTGGGATGGATGAATACAGAGGGCATAAACATTTTTCACTAGCAAATTCAGCTACCAAATTTGAATTAAAACAGACTATGTTGTGTGCCCAAGGACTGCTTTTCATCTGATACAAACACCTGTTCTATCTGGGCACTAATTAATCCAAGTCCTTTGTAAAAATAAACTCTACCTATAAGTAGAGACTTACTTTATGAGCAGGTAACGTGAGACGAATTCTGCTGAAATACGAATTCTGCTGACCCTACATGATCGATAAAATGACAGAGACAGTTACAGGTGGCAGGTAAACTTTCCATTTACCACCTATGCTTTGTGAGGATATCGCAAAAAAATTGTTTTTAATGGGAGTACTTGAGCTGAGGTATCCACTGTTTTATGGATGTAGTAAAAAACCCACAATACTGTTGAATAAAAAAACCACCAAGAACATGCACTCAAACATATAGATATCTATATTCTAAGAGAGAAAAATAGTGAAAACTTTTGTGACACTTAGGAGAGAAAAAGGTAATCTGAACCAAAATAAAAAGCAAACCAAGCACTTAGAACAGTCACTTAACTCCTTTTACCATAGCTACAGTAGGTGCAAAACCACAACCATCAAGCAAAGGTCATCTGTAAATGTAGTTCTGGTCAAAAATGACCCCACACAAAAAGCCAGGCTGAGATTTACTTGTTTAAACTGCAGACTAACATTTGCTGTATTACTTAGTTCTTGTTCATAGTGTAAAGCTAATCATTTCAGTTGTACTTTTCTGTGCCACCTTCACCCAGTCTATTTTCCAATTAAGTCAATGCACATCACTCAGCTCTAAGAGAAGCTCTCACTCCGTGGAAGAACTGCAGAATATTTTCTGAAAAAGCCATCTCATCTTTAAATTAAAAAATCCCAAGCAGCAGTGATACCAGGACATCCTGTGCCACACTACTGCTACGCCTGGACTGTCGCTTAGAATTTAGCCTGTTTTGTAACCTGCATTTAGCTTCAGTTTCCAGGCCCTGGACATTGCAGTCACATAATGCTAAAAAACCATTTCTTACTTTATGGGATGTTTCTCCCACCTGCTTCCCATGTGAATGCTTTAGGCCACTATGTTGAAACAGGCATTATTCTATTGGTACATCAGAGTTAGTAAGTGAGCATTAAGCTGACACCTAAGCAACTTAAAAAATTGTTAGAGGTACTTAAGGGCAGCTCCGTTTGCTTTGAAACTCTTCTTTCCTCTTGAGCTCTAAAGGGGTTGTGTTTGCTACTGTATAAACTGAACTACATAGCTAGTATAGCTTGCAACAGAACATACGTTAAGGAGTGTATCTTGTCATGTATCCTGTGGGATTTCATCTTACCTTTTTAATTGGAATACTCTTTAGATAAAGCACATGTGATTGCGAGTAAGAATACTGTCGTTCTTTCTATAAATGGCAGAACTTCAGATAAAACTATTGGTTTAGTGGTGCTGAAATTCCATACATAAAGTTTTGAGATGCAAAAACCTTTTAACAAGACTTTCTGCCACAAACCTTGCTTGCTATCAGACAGGTGTTGAAAATATGCATTGATTAAACCTCATCCACTTTCACACCCAAGTTTTTTTAATCAGCCTTTTAATTCTTTAAAAAGTTCCACCATTAGATTATTCTCAAGCATATGCTACCAGGAACTAGCCTCCTCTAAATTTGTTTTTGCCCATGTCAAAGCTTAAGAAAAATCAAACCACAGCGGGCAGTGGAAATCTAGAGCAACACTCTGCTCCACACCGGCTCCTGGGGAAGAGCGCAGTGTCTTCCCAGGCAACTCAACAAGGCTGAGGATGACTTATTCAGGAGAACGACAATCAGCCCCAGCAGACAGCAGGGGTTCAGCTGCGCTGACAGCTGCCCCCTAACACGTCTTCCAGCCAAACCAAACACTGCCCGGCGAGCGCGATGGGCACGACCTCGGAGCTGACCCATAGTTGGGCTAAGCCAGCAAAGAATGCCCCTAAACGCAGGTCTAGCACTGCCAGGGCAGCGATCCTCATTGCTCCCCTCCTTCCTCCCACTATCATCTAGTGCTGCTCAAACAGGGCAGCGGAGCAAGGGGCCAGGCGACCGCCCGCCCGCAACTCCCTGCGATAGGCAGCGAGAGCGAAGAGACACAGAGCAGAGAGA